ATATATACACTTAGGTGAACTAGCCGCGATATGCACCTTGACTTGGCACTCGAAAGCAGCATGACGCGAGGCTCTATGGGCCATGCCTCGGTCGACGCTCACATTAAACCAATTGGCCAATCATATCCAAGGAATCTAACATTATGACCAATCAGTATCTGTACGATGGCGGTCGTGCAAATTCCAATTACAATACAATTAGCGTCCAATGGGAGACTTCCAAAACCTTCGCAAACTTGTTTTGAACCCACTGTGGTACAAAAATTATCCGTACTGTGAGTGACTATTTTTCGGGGTTTCGGGGTTGCGATGAGAGATGGCGAGGTCATTAATGACGCTCCTTGAGTGCCATCTGTGCACTTGGTCATCGTCGGCGTCCGAGTCCCCGTGAACCTGCGCCAGCAACACCACTTCATCAAACACAATGAAGGTACTGTATTTGTTTATAGTATGGTATAAATTTTGTAAGTTATAATTTGAGTACGGGTGAATTGAATTATAATTCCGGATGAAAATCATCGACTCAAAAAAGTTTGCGACGGTTTTGGAAGTCTCCCAATAGATCGACTTTTTTGTCAATGAATGTGATAAAGACCGATACTCCGGAGTAATTGAGAGTGTAATTCAAAATCCAACGTATTGCGCCTCGCTTCGAATTCTACAGCGCTGATTGGACGAGAATGACAAGCGCGCCAAGCGCTTTAACATGATGTACGCAGCGCTTGAAACTTCTTAACGTAGCATTTTCAACTCCAGGCCGAAAGTTTATATACATTTTTCAAGTATAAACCATCACTCTGATCATACATCCACTCATATGTCACTCAAAATGGCACCTGGAAGGCGGGACTTGACCAACGACGAGGGCGAAGCGATACTCCGTGAAACACTGCTGAAGAGCAACGGCAGCTACGCTTCAAGACTACCCAAGGGCCTTGGTAAACCCCCCTCCTGAATCGATTGGCGTCGTCAGAAATCGTGAATTCCCTGTTTGGTCAGTTTCGGGTTGCGTGAGACAGTTTTGTATCGTTACAAACTCTACAACTTTATCTTTGACAAGATTATGTTTTGCAGTGACTCGTAATTTTATTCAAGGAGGTACAAGCCAAAAATCTGATTCGCTCCACAATTATGGGACAGAGGGAGCACGCTATAGAAGTCCTGGTTAAAGGGGAAAAAGTGGGCAAAAAGCTGGGGTTGAACTGGTGACCTGTCGAACCCATGTTCAAACCGCTAGACCACGGTAAGGCTGTATTTTTATTAATATTATATTTATTTAATATAACGGTAGCGGAACAACAATTTTGGAGACTGTTATTCTACCTGGCTGTTTCTTTTGGAATTGCTGTTATTTGTATACAAAAAGAATCTGAGCACAATGAATTATATCCAATGAGCAGCGACCACACTCATTACTACAGGGTTATGTCGTCGTAGGAGCGGTCAATTAATGGGCTCTCATTGGCTGTGTTTTTTGCGTACGGTATCAACGTCGTTCAAGATTAATTGAGTTTGGATTATCATTTTTAAGACATTCCTCGCGAGGGCCGACACTAGAACCACATGTTATGGAACCGCTTCGCCAATTGTAACGCGCCTGCTCGACCAGGGGCGGTGTGTAATCTTCGGTTTTTACTTCGCTCAACGCTTCATATCTCGTGCTTCGACCGATCTTCTTCGAAGTTCGGTCCTCGTCTTCATACACAGCCCTTGTTATCCGGATCCCCCAGGGGAGGGACGGATAAATCCTTGCGGAAATAATCCGGGGAATCCGGGGATCGAACCCACGACCTTTGAGTTAAGAAACCGATGCTCTACCACCTGAGCTATTCCCCCCCCCTCAACGTCGTTCAAGAGGATTGGTCCCTTCGGACATAATTGTAATCAAACTCCCAGGTGAGTGTACTGCCTGATATTGTCCTTTTACCCAAAATTTGGACTTTAGTGCTGAAACACCAAATCTATCGATCGATTCTTTGTACTGAATTTTGTATGTAAACAGGCGTCCTGTGGTGATTGGTATCACACTAATTGAAGTCGCACACTGATTTGACGTTGATAGTGGTTTCTGCAATCTGATTGGCTAAATCCTTCTGCCGATTCTTCTGTACATTAATTAGGTTGTGTCGATTTCTCCATGTCGCTCCAGTTTAGAATAAACGCAATAATACTACAGACTGTAGTGTACTCAACCCCATATAGATGTTGCCACAGCAGCATTTGTTTCTGCCAAAGTACATGTTTTGCAGCCATCAGTTAGTCCCCTTGTGTCTTCAGCCACAGGGCTCTACAAACTACTTGGAAAGTGAATGCCCTCACGTTTTGTACGAGCAAGGCGAAGCGGTACAGCCATCCGTTGCCCTTAAATCATGACATATTGCGACCTACGTAATTGAACGTGGTCACTCTTTACTCTGTCTTGCTCGCCCCCGAATTCTACCCTTGATGAGGCTGTGGTTAGTGTGACCAAGACAAAGTATTGTCAAGTCGATTCGAAATTGGAGTGGGGTGCTCAATCGAACACCAAATCGGCAGACAATCCATCGACCAATCAAAACTCAGATCAATAGTCAAGTAGCCAATCGAATGCATTTTCAACATCGAATTAGTATGCACAGGACGATTTTTGCATACAAAAGTCAGTACAAAGAATCGATGGATAGATTTGGCGAATCAACACAAAGTCCTAATTTTGGGTAAAATGACAAACCAATAGTGAGACCACCCAGGCCTTCAATTTTACGGTGGACAGTGCATTTTGTTATTTGTCTACATCTGGTATTACGTGAACTCTACTTGCCATCAAACCAAAGCACAATGATGTCAATCTATAATTTTGCCATGCAACTACCAGGCAACTATTTCCAAACGATGCCCCTTTCGTCCGCTCAAGTCGACGAGTACAAAGACCTCGGCGCTGAGATTGTCCTGAATCTCGTACGAGAACAAGTCACAGCTTCATCTTACGTTGCGCATAGATCCACGATTCTCAGATACACAATGGTCGCCTCCAGTGGCAACTCGCCAGCAACTCCAAGAGCTACCGGCTATACAAAGCGACCAACCCGAATGGCCCCCCTGGAGCTAATCTGCACTGCGGGACCATCCAAGTGATGGCTACCATCGACGAAGTGGCCTCGCTCTTTCGGTCCGAAACCACTGACGAAGCCAAGGCAATGCGTCGGCGGTTCAACCACCGGCTTCTGGACGCCGTGGTGCTGCATACGATCCTTAGACCGACTGAGCTGCGTCCCAACGAAAAGGTAGGCATCTCGTGGCGTGCCTTCGAAAGTCCGGGGGGACGAGCTATCCTTCAAAATCGAGACACGTGTGTCCTGGAGGTAAACAAAAATGCTGTGAAATTGGTTGCAAACTCCTCACCTTATTATGTAGAGTCAGCGAGAGTTTGTCCAGAACGGCAGGCGCGGGTTGGTGTGTGCAGTAAAGTCCATCGAAGTGGAAGCGTGCCCTAATATGGAACCAGAGTGGGGCCTTGTCCGCATGCAAAACTGGGGAAGCGGCCACGTCGTGGTCGAGTCCGAAGATCGACGGGGGTATCTGGACGTGTCGTATGTGTCCAACGTCGACATGGGGGTGGGCAAGTCGGAGTGGTTCCTTTCCCATGTGCTCCATCGAAAGCAATGGCTGGCTGACCTGTTGATGCGAAAACGATGTCAAAATATCGGCGACATTGACCGATTCCTACGCCTGCAACGCCTCGGGAAGACAGCGTTCGAGCCCAACTTTGTCACGCTCGACTCTAGACGCAGTTGTTTTGTGTGCCAAAGGCGGTTTTCGTTCTTCCAACCTCGCAAGAAGAAGGCCAACTGCGCCAAATGTGGCGAAGTCGTGTGCTCGAAATGCTGTCTGGAGTGGCCGATCAGAGACGTCCAGGTGAAAGTGTGCAGCGTCTGCTCGGCTCCCAGCTACACCCGGGACCGACAAGAGACCGCCGACACGGTCTGTAGCGACCCGTGGCGGCTGCAGGGGTCGACGATCCTTGCCGCCGAAAGCGAGTTTGACCAATGGCTGACCACGATGGAGCGAGCGACGGAGCGGAACCCGCCCGAGCCAGTCAAACCCAAGGCGCAACCGGCATTTTCCATACAAGTTTAGGCATTTAGTGTATGGTATCGGAGAGGGGGTGATAGGGGGACGGACATACCGATTGTAACGTTAATCATGAGTCGCGTTGAAGTGTAACTACACTGTAACTGTATATCTGGGATGCAGGCAAGCTTGCTCTTAGTAACAAAGTGACTTTTCATTTGGAAGTCGGATTGTTTATCAGTATACTGTATGTCACCGTTGTCACTGCAAAGCAGCAGACGACTAATATTACTTATTACTTCGAAGTACTAGTAACTTTTAGTTAATAATTTATATTTGTACTTATTCAAAATGACAGGTTTTTGTTGCACCCAAAGGTCAGTTTGTCGACACCAGGACGGGCGACATGGCCCGTCCTGATGTTTTCCCAGCATTTGTGGTACAAATCGACGTAAACAAGATTCCTATCGCCCCTCCTGCCCCTACCCCACAATATTAGCGCACACCTGCACCAAAATGGCATCGTCGCCAAGCTGCGTGTTGCCGCCGCGCAAGTCGTCCATCCTGCAGCCCACATCTTCCTTTCACATGTCATGCAACGGGGTTTCGTTCCCCCTGCTCGCGCTGGCATTCGACACACCAGCGTTGTCTTCGGAGCAGGTCGCATCCCTTCTTGCCACATCCAACAAGTCCTTCGACGCCTTGTATCAGCGCTGCCTGGGTCCTACCAGACTGACGGCCCGTTCTACCAAGGTCCATGTGATGGCGGTTCCAGCAGCAGCGCCACCAGGGGTATGGGTATCAACCAGTGTCAACATATGTGCCACACTGGACGAAGTCCGGGCTCTCCATAACAACTCGACCCAATCGACTGTGCACTTTTCAGACGACATCCTCGATTCCAAGGTGCTGTATACGGTCGAAGACTCCCCCGAACAGGTGGTTCTGGTGCGATGGCAAGCGCTCCAGTACGGCCTACCAGTGCACCATCGCGACGTTGTTTTACTGGAGGTACACATACGAATTAATCCATCATTGGGCGGAATTATAGCTAATTCTGGGCAGACCCACCGCGATTTTGACTGGCCTGATGGCCGACGGGCGTACGGTTACGCCCAGGACTCGATCTCGTTGCCATGCTGCGAAGACTTGTACGATGCGTTTCAGCTAGTGCGAGGATCCATGCGCAATTCGGGGTACGTTGGTTGATAATTTGGCCGAATTAGGGTCTAATTCGGTTGTTTTACCAGCCTCGTGTTCGTGGAATCGGATAACGTGGAGGGCCAACTGGAAGTGCATTTCCACTGCGAAATGGACTTGAAAGGATCGATCCCTTCCTGGCTAGCCACGCGCCTCCTGCGACAGAGTGCGGTGCTCCACTTAACCTGTTTGACCACGAGATTGCATGAGACACGGCTCACAAAGCGCGTCAAGTGTCAATATGTGGTGCTCGTGGACAAGGTAGACCGAACCCACTGTTGTCACTGTTTGAGTCGGTTCCATTCATGGCGGCGAAAGCACCATTGCAAAATGTGTGGCGAGGTACTTCTATTCTTGTCCTCATATGATTGGATTTGAACATTTTTTTTCACCCCGAAACCCCGGAACCCCGAAATATTTTTATTTATTTAAATGATTGTAGGTGTTTTGCTGGGCATGCACGCAATTTTGGCGGTTGGAGGCGCAGTCGACGCGGGTTTGTGTCGATTGTGCCAATGATTACTCCAGTGACCCGGCACATCCCCAATTATTGGACTCCAGCGTGCAAGGTATGATATATATATATATATTCTGGAATTCAAATATATATATATATATTCTGGAATTCAAATATATATATATATATTCTGGATTTCATATATATATATATCCTGGAATTCAAATATATATATATTCTGGAATTCAAATATATACATATACATATATATATTCTGGAATTCAAATATATATATATTTATGGTGTAGGCTACTTTCCCATCTTACGGCATCGCGCGTCTACCACGGCGGGCTTAAATCCACTTCGAAAACTCAAGTCGGTGTCGTCTTTCGATGATAAGCGCAGCACCGAGAACGAGTCGGATGATATCGAATGGACGGCTACCATGACGTCCAACTTGGCGGTGCTGGGCGATGATTGGCGGGAAAAGAGTGTTAGCACTAGGCCTAGTCGGTCCAAATCTGCATTTTATGTGTGGTGATATTAGAGTGATTTTGCTCCGAAGAATCCACATGAATTTTCTAATATAATTTCCCTGAAAATCCTTGGGGGAATATCATGTGGGGAAGGTGCTTTTACTATAGGAAAAATTCATATTTACAGGGTTTCGCTATACATGTTAAGCATAATACCGATGTAGTTTTTGTTGCGGCTCTTCTGGAGCACCTACCAGTAGTACACGCCTCCCAATCTGTACGCATATGAACAACCCAGTGCAGTAGGTGCAATGTGTGCAGCATGTGACCTTGCACCCTCCCCATAGGCTGTCATGTGCCAACGTATGTAGAAACATGACCACTTTGAGGTGGTCGGTAAACACAGGGATAGGATGTATCTGTTGGCTGGATCAAGCAAAATTGGTAATTTACTGCTAGCCTGTTCAAGTGTTTTGATGACTACTAAATGTGTGAAAAGGTTTTCCCAGTCAGAAATTCTGACAGAATATATATATATTGTCACGTAGCAAAATCCCTATATTGTCAAATCCGTTCCAATTTGGAAGCATGAACTGGACAAATGTATTGTAGTGTATGTCCTAGCCAATCAAAGCGCACTAACTCGAAATATCAACCAATTATCGATCAGTATAATCTAAATGTTCATCGTTAAAAATTGTACTATTGAATAGAACGTTAACAATACATTGACGTTTACTAACAGGAAGTAGTAAGCATTCGATTCCCATCAACTGCCAAGTCCAAATTTCAGTGAAAAGGACAATTATAGGGAGAGTATTCGGAGCGGAGTAATCATCGCTATCCTTAAAATAACTAACCTTGGAATATTTATGGAGTTGGGAATAGTATCGTTGAAATGAAGCGATGTACCTATAAATAATAATATGTTATCTGTCTGGGATGTGTTATTATGTTGTGTTTATTCTAAACTGGGGCGACGTGGAGAAAGAATCGATACAACCCCCAATGTATGGAAGAATTGGCAGAAGGAAACCATTTTGAACATGTAAACAATGTGCGTGACTTCAATTAGTGTGTGTGACTTCAATTAGTGTGCGTGACTGCAGTTAGTGTGATTCCAATCATCACAGCACAACTTTTTACATACAAAATTCAGTACAAAAAATCGATCGATAGATTTGGCGAAAGTCCAAATTTTGGGTATAAGGACAATATAAGTTCATTTGACGCACTGTCCAGGGGTTTCAGGGTTTCTGTAGTGGTGGTAACAACCCCGAAACCCCAATGGTCATCTATCTCCTCGTAGTTGAACATCGTTGTTTGGTATATCTAATGCTCTTCAGTTGAGAGTAAACCCCGAAACTCTGCATAAATGATGACTGGCCATCAGCACTTTCAACTCCCACATACTAACTTAGTAGGTGCAGTATCAATGAAAAATCTGGGTATGGGTGGTCAGTTTGACAAGGCAAATATGACAGACTATTTTTCATCGTTCGAATCTAGAGGACTATTCTCAATATGGTAAATCCTCTGCATCTCGGACCAAAAAAGTGCGCAGCTAGCTGACCATCGCGTGACGCCATTGGTTTACATGGCCAACCACGACCTCGAGACCGCCGCCACAATTGCCTGAACTTTCGCAATCTGTTCAGATGCGACGAGGGGTTTTACAAGGACTGCACCTAAGTGTCGGGAGGAGATGGCTAGCGCACGTGCCTTTACTGTACTGCTTCAATGCTAAGTACAAGGACAAAGTCGAAGGGAGGGTTCTGACTCGACCCTAACTAGGCTTCCTGGGGAGCATGAGTGTGTTCTTGTACTCCTTTAGATCGAGTGTAAATTGATCTATTAGCAGACGCGCTATCAACTGAGCTAAAAGAACTGGTCAATCTGGGCATGAAACCCCCAAACTTACGACATATTGTTGAAATGAACCAGTTGGTATTACTAATACACGTAATTATGAACAGTAAATACCACTAACCCTGAAACATAGTACTGTAGTACACTAGTAGTAGAGTAGTAGTTTGCGTCTTGGTACGCCACGACTGGCGACCGCAAGAAGTAGGCGACGTGTCATGTCTGCTTCAAGGTATTCACAATTTGAGCTCAATTAACTGTAAGTTCACGATCAAAAGTAGGGCTACTACGTGCTATGGATTGAGAAACCAAAATATGTTCAGAAGGGATATTAGCAACGCGCTTCCGTCAAGTGCTCCGACCTCCGCAGCTCCACATCGTCACCTTCACTGCCAGTGTTGCAGTGCCACTCCGGCCATCGTTTCTACGCGAACCTCGAAGCATACGAGCACTTGAAGTTCGCCCACAGTTTCCACCAGCCCACTGACGACACGAACTGGGGCACATCGCTGTGTCCACCGAGTCATCTGGCAACCAATGTGAGCTGTACCGTCGAAACGTCGTCGTCATGGGACGCTGACGACTGTCGTGATTCGTCAGATCTGTGGCCGGATTGGCGGGGCTCGACGGTTCTACTGGAAGCATTCACCTTGGACACGAATGAAGGCAACAGATTCGAACCCCGTGTTGAATACTAGTACACCGCGAGTGGCACACTCGACCACAGAGAGCTGCGTTGGAGCTTGGCCATACCTCCACAGGTCTATAATACTGCAGCATTATTCCGATTTGTTTACACGTGCATTTTCATCCATGAGAAATAGATTCGATACATGTTGAACTCGTATACTTTTGAATCTATGGTGCTGGTTGTCGAACACGGATTGTCACATGGTGGTGAAATGTGACGCGGCAACCGATCTTTGCCGTGCTTCTTTTTCTTCATTTCATCTCTGCGATTGTAAAAAATCAAACGAGTCAGTATGGAACTGGTGTACCAGCTCTACAAGTCGCGATGACATTCATTGACTGTCGCACCTGCATCCTCAGCCAATAACTGCCTTGTGTTGGCCATAATGTCAGCCACGAGGTTCCGCCACCGAACTCGGTCAAGTCTAAGCTACAACTCTCACTCACTTCATTCCCGCATATCAAATCATGCGTTTTATACGTTTTACCTTAAACGTCGTCGTATATCTCCATCGAAACACGACCGATTTCAGTATAACGCAAGTACGTTTTACGAATTAACCACTTCTGACGATCACACACACACACCTACCTACCCATGTGATTGTATATGGCGACTGGCTTGTCAACTGTGAGGTAGTCCATCCACTTTTGAATTTGCACCCCACCACCACCCCCATCCATATCATGTTTACCCTGCTTGCAGCTGCCCGCAACGCCTTCAACAACCTCAAAACCAGCGCATCCTACCAGGAAAAGAAGCACTGCCGGTTGTGTCGAAAGTGGTTTAACCCGTTCCGTCGACGCAATTCGTGTGCAGGGTGCCACGAGTGCTTCTGCAGCCGCTGCATTGACGACGAAAACGTCCTGGGCGAGCCTTCGAAACCCCGAAACGCCGAAACCCCGAAACCCCTGTGCCTCTACTGCGCAGACGCGTCCCAGAAGTTCCTTCGACTGACGTCCATGTGCTCGCCGGACAAAGGCACGATCTTTGTCACTTTTGAAGACCCACCGTCCACTGTACCACCATGTGCCGAGCACCGACTAAGCCACGACATCATGAAAGGCGGCTACTCCTTACGGCGCACGTCCAGCTTGGCTACGGCCATCTCTGATGTCACAGACGTGGACGAGTGGAATGCGCGACAGTCCCAAGACTTGGGGAGATGGGAAGGTAACTGCATTCTCATTGAAGTCCTCGAGCCAGGGTACTACACAACCTCGTCTAAACGAGCCAACGTGCAACGCAGATAGATCAAGCCATTGGTAGTTTTGATCGCTTAGTTGCTACATTAACTAACTTATTTAACTTATTTGAACCAGTTCACAGTTGTTTTTCATGCCTAAAGCAGCCTTGGAATAGTATGTATGTCAGTCATGAAGTTGTTCTACAGTACTGAAATATCTATTGTAGTCGTTCAAGGTAAAAGTCTCGATTTCGAATCGTGCTACTGAGCATTTTCTGAACTTGTGACCCAACCGAGGGGTTTCAGGGTTTCTTCGAAATGTAAACCCCGAAACCCCGACCCTCGCGATTCTAGTCAGTGACAAAACACGAACATGCCCACATCCAATCACATCGGTTCTTTTTGAAACAATTGGCCAATGCAATTGCTGCAAACGCGCCACTGCAGTGTTGGTGGTTAGTGCGAATGATGCCCGAACGCAACCCTATCAAGCCAACGAAGGCGGCACATTATTCAGGGCACAGTAAGAAGAAGTCGACGCCTTTTCGAGGCAGCAAACCTCCGACTTTCGACAAAAGCAACCTCCCACACAAACGCAAGGGTCCTCCTCCCCACCATGAGCATCATCCCGCTTCTTCGTCGTTCAAGAAGCCAAAGAAGGACGCGCCGGAAACCGTCAAACTGAACAAGGAACTGGCGCAGTATGCCAGCCGGAAGCAACTCCCGGAAGCCCAGGCCACGTTCAACGACGCCGTGGCCAACCACTTGGCCAACTCGTACACTTATGTCAACATGATGAATGTGTGCGTGCGCTGCGGGGACTTGAGCCAAGCGACGTCGGTCTTTGACGCGATGAAAGCCGCCAAGATCTCCCCGGATGTCGTCGCGTACACGACCCTTCTCAAGGGATTGTGCGGCGAAGGGCGGCTAGATGACGCCATGAAGCATGTGAAAGCCATGGAAGCGGCCAAAGTACCGCTCAACGTACGCACAGTCAACACGCTGCTGCGCGGGTGCATTCTCGTGGGCGATGTCCGCACTGCCGAAGCCATCTTCGATGCCACGGTGGGCAAATGGAGACTCGCGCCAGACGATTCGACGTGGGAATATGTGATAGCGCTGCTGTGTCGGAACCTACAGCTCAAGAAGGCCTTGTCCGTGTTTGGCCGTGGGTTGCTGGCAAACGGGTGCAACGTCGGCAGCAACGCAGCTACTCTACTCAACTTGGCCCGAGCTGCGACCTTACTAGGCGACATCTCGACTGCACACAAGTACGTGGGTATGACACTGCGCAATTTGGCCGCGAAGAACCCCGAAACCCCGGAACCCCGAAACCCCGGCGGCAAGCGCGGGTGGCACGAAGCGTCGGAAAGCCGCCAAGAGTCCCTCGCCGTGTTCCTCCAGATCAAACGTGACGAACTAGCTCGGGAACTCAGCGTCATATCCACCTACCTGGAGCAACTATCTCAGCAAGCCAGCAACAAGTCGGACGATGGCACCGCGAGGGATGCCATCTTGGACATGTATAAGAAGGTGCTGTTGATTCCTCTCACTCCCAAGCGCGACCAATCGCTGGCGGAAGCGCTGGCCGTCGGCGTTCTCGATACCATGGGCCTCCGCGCTGTACTGAAGAAGAACTTTCCCGATAAAGTTGCGACCGTTCAATTAAGTTTCGAACGCCGGTTAAGTTCGACGACCGACGTGGTGAAATTGCGCAAAGTGTTTGGAAAAGACCGAGTCCAGGCGCTGCCCGTGAAGGTGGAGATCTGCAGCGGCGCCGGGGAATGGGTGGTTAACCAGGCCAAGAAGGACCAAGGGAAGGCGCTGTGGGTCGCCATGGAGATCCGACACGACCGAGTGTACCAGATCTTCACGCAGGCCGTCTTCGACAACGTGACCAACCTGAGCATCATCGCCGGGGATGCCGCCGTGGGTATTCAGCGGCACATGAAGCCAAACCAAGTGGATTTCATGTTTATCAACCAACCGGAACCCCCCCAGCAGACGGGCAGCATGAACACCCAAGCCAAGCATCTCCTCACCGCGACATTCCTCGACCATGCCATGCAACTCGTGAAACCCGACGGAAGACTCACCATCGTGACCGACAACAAGTGGTACGCCCAGTTCCTGCTCAAGATCGTGTGCAAGCTCAAGCATGTGCACGGCGTCGCGTTGAAGAAGCGGCAGACGGTCGAGTCCCACGGATCGTTCCACATCTACATGGGCCACCCGCCGAAAGAGTGCGGGGTCGCCGACGAACACGCGTCGTCCTACTTTGATCGACTCGCCAAGCAAGACAGCATCCGAGGTAGTCAAGGCACGTACTTTCTCTCGATTGCCAAGCGAATCGCTGCTTAAGATAACCAAACCGTTCGATCCAAATTCCTCCATCTTGTAACGGCATGATGCAGTCGATTCCGTCATCGTCTTAGGAATGCATGTCTGCGTCCTCCATCATGATGTCCTCTGTCTTGCTTCCCATCGGACCTGACCGTCTCCACCGCCGCCATCGCCACGCGAAGGTTCATGTGGATGAGGGAGGATGACTGAAATCAGAACTCCACTGACCTCCGCCCGAAATAGTTATTTATATATCAGTATACAAATGGCAAGTATAAGCAGATACATCACATAAACGACCTACACTCTGCTTCGCCCAGACGGTTTATTTGCAGCCATTTTCACTTCAGCCCACGATGGGCGGCGAAGGACAGCTGCATGGGTCGACACTCGGCCGCGTGTGCACCGTCACCTTCCCCGAGTCATATGGAACCCCACGCGTGATCCTCGATGCGGACTACGTGTGTGCCACAGGATGGTCCTTCTTCATGGAGCTCTTCGCATCGATGGCGCCAACCTCATCGGCCTTGCGCCTCTGCCATCTCAAGGACGATGAAATTCGATGGGTCCATGACGACGAAGCGCTCCTCGCGCTGTTTGAAGATGGAAGTATCCGGCATCAAGCGCTGCATGCAGTGGAGGAGCATGCCTTTATGGATGGGAAAGTCATGGTGCATTCGCATTTGAGTCCAGACTTCTCTCCCGAGATTTCTGGCGTAGCGGTCGCGGGCAACGACGAGGACGAAGAGAAGCCGATGCTCACACAAGACGACAGCTTTGACGATGACGACGATATTGCTCTGGAAGATGAAGACCTGCCCGACGCCCAAGTCGTCCCAGACGTCCCGCCGTCCACTCTCTTCAACAGCATTCGCATGTTCTTCGAGCCCAAGCAGCAGCATCCTCCCCCCAAGAAGCCCACCGCCGACAACACGAAGAAGAACTGGTGGTCCACACAGCTCTTCATGAAACCGTTTACGAAAGCAGAAGTCACGACACCCGTCATCCCCGACATCACGTATCGGCATTCCGAACCCCCCATGCGGCCTCTGAGCGCGTCCCATCGAGTTCAATTCCCGCGCATGTCGTACACTGTCCAAGCCGAAGAAGCGACGACTACTCCAAGACACAGCTTTCACATATCGTCGTCGTGGCACCACCACGCAGATCGCATGAGTGCGTCCATGAACTTACCTTCTTCCGCCAAGGACAAGTCCATGGGGTCCTTTGTGTGGATCTAGACCACCGCCATACCATTAACCACCCTAACTTATTAGACACATTTAGCGACATTAACTATTAATAGTACTACCGTAGTTAGGATTAATACCTCGAAGTAACGTACAGTTTATCGTGCACAGGACAGTTTAAGGTGTACTCGAATTGGCCAATGGAATTGCTTGATTTTTGGAGCAGCCAATCGAATCAGTAGAAAAATAAACTATAAGCAAAAACAGCATACATATTTTAAGCTTAAATTTGTACCAATCGAAAGCTTGGTATTTTGGCTTCCTCGTAATATCGTTGAAATTGGTAAACTATTGGCTCAAAGTTTAGCTTTCATCAATAGAAGTACTATACAAAAGTGATGTATTACACCTTACAGTTAAGCAAACACAGAAATTCAAATACTGTACTGTACCCGAAACCCCGAAACCTTATTAAAGTTCCGATTCCGACAGGTGGTCAGTCCAGGGTATGGGAAAAATAATTGACGAAAACATAATTGACAATGAAATAGATAATGCGCTGGACAACGAGCCCCAACGAGTCAACAATATTTTATCTTATCATTTGTATTTAAATATACTTGTTCAATTCAATAATGATTAGACAAATATTTAGACGGAGCATGCAATACAATAATTGTATTGGCCATGCGCTGCAATACAATTGTTAAATGTTTTTACTCCGGAAAATTGCTAAGGGCTGGTCTGGATGCCACCCCCCTGTAAAATGTATGCCATAAACCATTTTGGCAAATATTGGCCAATATACCATAAACCATTTTGGCAAGTCTGCAAAAATTTCCCAAAGTCTCAAATCCCATGAGAAAAAGGAGAAAAGAAGTATCATCAAATCTTGCCAGTTGAATTATGGAAAATTTATTCGATTTCCGATTGAAGTGCAAGACTTCAATGTGAACAACAAATCACCATATGAAAGTTGGGCCAAATCGGTCCATTTTTTTCCTGCCATAAAACACCCGATTCTCGAGAAAATTGTGGCATATTGTATTGAACTTTGGTGGCATCCAGACGCACAAATTTTCGAAAAATGGAATATTTCGATTTTGGCACCTTTTCTTGGAAAAATGACCATTTTATGCCATTTTTCGTGGCATCCAGACCCGCCCTAAAAATATTTTTTCCCCATACCCTGGGTCTGACCTCTTGGGAGAAGGTCTTGCAGTGGAATTGTCAAACATATTTCTGCATTTGGTCGATTTCATCTAACCGTGACCAACGGTCATCGAGACGTCCAAGAAACACGAAAACGAACACCAGTGTCATTAAGCTGTATTGTGATTGGCTTAGGCATTGCGGCAATATTGAAGTTGAAATTTACGAAAATATCGACTACAGTGCTAATTCGTACTTCGAAGTATATTTTCAGCACGAAGTTCGTAGCTGTGAGGAACCCGACGTCAAAAATTACATGGACGCAGGAGCAAATTTCAAACGACCGGATACTCCATTTTATCCGGTATACCTTAATCAGGTGCATTTGTTCGATTCAAATTAAGGCCTTTCATTGGATAAATACAAATCCAAAATACATTTTGATTGGTTTAGAATCAACCTAAATACATTTGATTGGATAAATAACTCTGGATATTTGATTCTGGCGCGCGGTAACACATGGCCGATGCTCCGCCACGCAGCGACGAGCCATCCGTGAACGATGCAGGTCCTATCTCTCCCGTGGCATCACAGCAGACGACGACACCCATATCGCCGCTGAATCTGTCGTCCCACCGACAGCTCCATGACACGTACAAGGTGATCACGCCGGTGAACTCGCCCAAACGGGCGCCTCAACCAACGTCGGAGGTTGGAAGTCCCCAGAATGCTGCCGCCGCTGCCACCCAGAAACGACCGAATCTCCATCTGAACTTGAGTGTGATCAAGTCTGCTCCGTCTCGACCGCTCGTCCCTAGTGCTACAGGTCGCGTGAAAAAAGTCACGAGGGACATCGCGGCGCTGGATTTTCTCCAGAACATCCCCATGTCGTCCGAGTACTACAGTTCCGCAACCGACACCAACTACCTCAACTCCCCCGTCCCCCACGACGCGAACGACGCCGTCCTATCCGACAACGAAGACGAGCATGCGCTAGCTGGTCGCCGTCTTCCCGGTCCCGACTGCCAAGTGGTGCGCATGCCGCCGTTGATTCGGTACGCAACACCCTTGCTTATGTCGTCGTGAGTATTAGTGTAGGTATCGCATGACGACCAAGTATCCCCCTGCCTCCGCGACCGTTCGACTCTGGGAAGGCAACATGAACGAAGTCGGACTGGTGAATTCGAGGATATTCCTCTCCAGCGGCAAGGGCTACCCCGTCGCCGTCACATCTGTGATCAAAGTATGACTGTATATATTGTGAATTCGCTTCCAAATTCGTGATCTGAGTGAATCATGCTAGAGTTGTTCTGATTGGTTGAATCTACTTACTTTAAGAGCCAATCAAATCCACTCAAAAATGGATTAGCCAATAGCGTCAATTCGTGATTCGATATTTGACGGCAATTCGTATCGAATCCACAATGTATATATGTTTAAGAGTGGTTTGTTTGAGAATACGCATTCGTGTTAGCCAATCACACCGTCATTCTTTTTATCCAATCAAACTGCTTTGCTCGATTTGAACCATCCCCACTCAAATTGGCAAAACAAACGAACACTACGATGAATATTCACCACGTGCTATTGCAGTACAATGGCAACCAAACCAAGGTCCGGCATCCTTTTCGTGAGAATAACGTGGTGGCGCCATATGATTGGCGGGGAAAGTCCTACTTTCAGCTGCTGCATGCGACATGGAGCGCATGTGACAAGGATCGCGACGCCCAAGATAAGCACCCCGTGGTACCGCCTTATGAACCCAACTTTCTCGATAATCCAGAGTACAATATTTCATATATATTACCGCCTGAGGTTTAAAAATTTATTTACTTGGCGCAGGTACCGCCAAGGACGACACAAGGATGTGATTCGCGGAGATCGAAAACTCGGTCCTATGGTCAGCAGTATCCTCCGCTTTGTCAAACCAAACGATTTGAAAGAGGTCTATATATATATATATATATATATATATATTAACCCAAAGCGTGGTAGGAATTAAACAAACAATTTCGAGAAACCCATACATGGCTGCATGACACTGACCTGAGTTTGAGCAAAATCCGAAATCTCAAACAAGAAGCACTGCTTATGGGCCAGCGAATTCACTTGGATATTTCGACTGTCGCCCTAGCCTGTGTTTATTTTGAAAAATTAGTGCTCGAAAACGTATGTCTCGTATTTATATTCCTGTTATTTTATAAAATCCTTTTAAATTGTAGTATGTGACCAAACCGAATCGGAAACTGTACATGTCTGCGTGCTTGATCCTTGCGGTCAAGTTTAACGAACCTCGGGTACGAATAATCGAAACCCCGAAACCCCTAAACCCCCGATTACGTTTGAAGTCATGGTTTGATTCAGGGCACGGACGATCTTTTGATTGTGGTCAAGAAACTATTGGCCGAAGTCGACCGAGTGCACTCGATTCCATCAAGAGAAGTGCTTGCCGTGGAATTTAAAGTGTACACAGAGCTCTCGTTTGCCCTTCACGTTCGATTGGCGGACCTTCAGGTAAAATATATATAGGTATTTCGAAACCCCGGATGATAAATGATTATTTTGTTTAATTTGGTATGTATATATAGCCCCACTTCACGCGGCTGCTGAAATGCATGGAAAGCAACCCGCGCAAGTACTTGGGCGAAGACATTTTCGAATTTTATTCCAAGTTGGTCCACGACGAAGCGACGATATTGTTACCACTGAACGAACAAGAAGATGATGAAACCGACGGGGAAAATGTACTGAGCGACACAGAGGAATTAGAACAAGACGGTCGTACCGAGTCTGGGCGGCAGTCGTCGCTATTTCCGTGGAACCAAGTGTCGTTTGCCCAGTGGTGGAAAGATCGCACGTGAATATGTCGACTAATATTGTAGTACTAGTACTAACTACCCTCTGTCCCAGTTAACTGTGAATCACTCCAAGCGGCATTATGGAGATACGAACTCGGTGGTGATTGTCAGGAATATATTTAAATATATTCTCCGGTGGAATTATTTATTGTGATTTCCGAAAGAAGAAAAATAACTATTGCAATCTATTGCACTAACCATTGATTCACCAATAATTATTGCATTAAATTTTGATTGGCCAATAAATAATGCAATAATATTTCAAAGGGCAATAACTATTGCAATAACTAATGATTAACCAATAAATACTGCAATTTTTATTGATTCGTCAATAAATACTTGCACTCAAATTTGTTCTCTACTTCCCAGGAGGCTGCGGGAAACGATCAACTTTACAATCCTCAAACGATATGGCAGTGCACAGTTCATCATCATCGTACAACACGCTAGAATCAAATTAACATGTGAGTTCAGCGATTACGATCTCTGTTTGGAGTCGACCCCAACATTTTCACGCTGATTTGGGTGGAAAAGCAACACAATCTGGAGGAGACAGTTGTTGCCCATCTATTGTGGGCATTGATGTTCCTAAAGCTATACGCAACAGAAACAGTCCATGCAGCTCTTGCGGGGGTTGACGAGAAGACGTATGCGACACGAAATTGGGATTTGTATTCGTACTGGTCAAAGAGTATGGATCAACGGCGGTGTTCCTTGTGGTAGCTGGCTAGATCTGACCTTGGCTCGAAGTGCATTCGTTCCTGGTCTTTCACTGAATGAGAGTGCGTTAGCCGATCGAGGCTATTTGGGCGAAGCGTGTTTTGTCACACCCAACACTCAGGTGCAGACAAGTCGACGTCCAAAAGCTATAATGTCGCCCCATGAAACGGTGAATGCTCAGTTGAAACAATTTGGCGCGCTGCGTCAAATATTTCGACATGAGCTACACCTTCACCCTCTATGTGTCTACGCCGTGGCCAACATCGTTCAAATGACAATTGAGAATGGTTCACCGCTGTATAGTTAACTGGAATTATTACCACAATATTAGGGAGAGTCAATACCTAGTATAGGAATTTTCGATTTGCTTTTGCTTTTGGAATAACATCATTTTGATTTGGTGTCGCGGTACATGTACAGTAACGTTAGTGTGTATTTTATTATTGTTGAACGAAAAGCAAGGAGAGTCAATATAGGCCAACGATTCAGCCGCAACCGCTATCCGTATCCGCATAGATCACTTCATTGTCGAAAATGCTTGATGAATTTCTACGACTTCGATACATTATACTTTGTTCACGTGTATGTTCTCCCGTGCTTCGCTCCCTCGATCCTTAGAGCAACTATCCATTCTACCATTTATGGCAGTTGGGGACTTTGTACAAGAGGTTCGTGTATGTCAGAGCACATTTGCATATATTGTTCAGTTGATTGAACTGAACCCCATCTTTCAACCGACGAGCAATAGAGCTCAACGACCGGTATGGGTACAGCTTGCCTGCGCACTGCACCACATCGGCCATAATGGCACTGGTTCGTCCGCAGGGATGGTGTTACGAGCAAAAGGAATTGGGATTGGGACTGTTCATCTTTACACTAAACGTGTTATTCATGCTTTAGTGTCATTATCCCACTTCGAGATCATTTGGCCTAATCATTGTGAGCGTGGTCAACTTGCCAGTTATAATGCAGAACGATATGGATTTCGTAACTGTATTTTATCAACTGATGGCACACATATTGTTTTGTACCGAAAACCAGCTTTGAACGGCGAGGTATATTACAGTCGAAAAAAGGAGTACTCCATGAATGTTCTTTTAACGTTTGATTACAAACGCCAAATCCGACACGTCATCGCTGGCTGGCCGGGTTCACGACTCAACTGTGTGGGCATCATATTCGTTCACGACTCAACTGTGTGGGCATCATATTCGCCGGCCCTGCGTCCAGACGGTTTTTTTTACGCCAACCAATACCAAGCGGGCGATTCAGGATTTTCCCTCGACA